GCAGGCCTAATTTGTGCCCCGAAAAGCGGACCAGGGTGAAGACCCCCCCACAGGGGGGCTGAGCTCTACCCCCCACCCAGGCTACCTCATAATGTCTTGGATATATTACCTATGGTTGAAGGACAGTTAGGTTATAAACTTTAAATTTAACCATTCCTCAGCATTGTGCAGAATGCTGGACCTCCTCCTAACTATGGTTAGAGAATTATCAGTGCCCAAAAACTGCAGAGCCTTGAGTCAAGAGCAGTTCTTCCTTACTTGCGTTTGCTTTAATGAGCATTGGGGATGGGGGGTCATGTAAAAAAGAGCAAGGTTTAAGTGATGCCTCAGCTTTATTTAGGGTTATTACGATTAACATTAACTATGGTTCATATTAGCCCTGACTTAGTGTTGTGTACAAACTAGCTACTGAAGTTAAACCACAAACACATTGAGAGCTGCAAGAGCAACAATAGTGATGTGATGGAGAAGGCGGAGCCAGAAAGCATTCATTCAACTCTCCCCTCAGGCGATGATAACCATGGTAAGAGAAAACTGCTTGAAAAAAATGCTATGGTCACTTCCTTAAATGAATACATAGTTCTAGAAATTCTAATTTCTAGGATACTGGTGACTTACATAGGTCAGCATCTGTGGAGAGCTTGCAGATTGACAGACAACATGTAGACCACATTTACCTCAGGATGTGTCTCCCCCACACCCTGCCTGCAAAATATGTGGCCAACTATTAATTTCAACAAATCTAAATTCTCTTGATAAACAGGTAGATCCTGTAAAATGATATGGCAGGGCAAGGAATAAAAAAATATAACAACAGTATTGCAGATGAATATTTAAAACAATTGGCTTTCTGAGTAAGTTTTTTTTAAAAAAAATGGAGTTAGTTGTAGTTCTAATTTAAACTGCCTACCAATTTTTGTTGGAAAATGTTCAGGGGCTATAGTACAGAATTAATTCAATTCTAAATAGATCTGTGATCTGCAACAGTGGTATTTTTATACACTTTGTCCAAAAGTCTTAAATGAAGAAACTACTAAATGGCATCTGACTCTTTAGAGAAGAGTTAAAGAGAATAATTTGATGTTTTGAGAATCACACTACTGCTAACTCCAGTGTTTTTCAGTTTACAGTGAGAGCTTGGAAAGGAAACGTCAGGATTGTTCATAGGCTAGTATTTCAAGAACTGCAAGAACCTATCCCTGATGTAATAAAACCTTCTGATAGAAAACATTCCATTTAACAGCATATCCATGTTCATTTCTTTTTTAAAAAACAGTCTGTGCCTTCTTACTTCTTTTAATTAAACTTCTGTATTCAGTAGTTCTTCTGATTCCATCACTAAATAACTTCCTTGTTTTTTTCAAGTCTCTGCAATAATAGGTCTAATCAACAAGTCAGTCTGATCAACTGAATACTGACTTTCTGCCTCAACTATTCAGAGATATTTTTTAAAAAAACAACTTTACCCAGACATAGAATACTTAAGCCTTATTTTTTATTTTTTTAAAAGGTAAATCACACGTTCCTATAATATAGCTTTCAAATTAGCGCCCACAAATAGTCAAGAACTCAGTAGCTTGTCTGATTATTATTCTAAAATCAGCTTAGCATTTCTCTAAGTTTATAAGCACAATTTTGCAAAGGAAGTGCAGACTAAGTAGGTTGAAGATTTAATGAAAATGTTTTAAAAACATTACTATTGATACAGAACAGTCTTGAACTGCCACAGCAGCATGCTCCCAGGAAAGCTCATTAAGAAGTTTTAAAATGTCAGTCATAATTCTGAGCAAAATCCAAGCTCAAGAAGGGACACAGAAAATGTGTGACTGTATGGTTTTTACATTGTATATGCGCAGAGTGTTGGGATGTATGGGATTGTTTGTTAGAAGTATTTTAAGAAAGTGAAGAACAAAGTTTACATTGAAAAAAGGAAGAAGACGGAACACAAAGATGACCAGAGCTTCCCTTCTGGAGTGGAATAATGAAACAGAAGCTGAGGCACTTTATTTCACATATTTCATTGTTAAATGATGTTTAGCTACTTGGCTATTACAAAATATCTGCATGTGAATCAACTCAACAAAAAGCATAGTCTGAAACAGATGTAAGCAAAGCAGATAAAGGGGAAAGTCTGCTAGACAGACCCATCAGGAAGACACCCGCGTTGAGACACGTGGGGGTGAAGGGAGGAATCAGCTAGCCATAATCAAAACAGAGACACAGCTCAGTCACAGCAGTTATCAATCAGCATCAGTTGTAGAGTAGGTTCACAGAGGTATGTGGTTGCCAACTTTTTGTTCTTGCAGGGCCTCTATGCTTGTACAAGATGTGTGGCAGACAGTGGAGTTACAGGTGCAACTCCCCTCATTATTGCTGCTTCATGGAAAGCACAGCGAAACCTGTTAGATTTCCATCTACTGTGCACTTTTGAAAAACACTGGAGCCCTGGGAGGCCAACAGTGAAAACCTCACATGGAAACAACTGACTTCCCATTGGTTTCTGCTGCCAGTGTAGGCCATGCTTGCATCTTTCATGGCATCCAATGGAGAGTACCCTTGCTTCTCTGCATGTTGGACGGCTTCCTGGTTTCCTGTGGGAAAATAGGAGAGGCATTGTGATAATAATGAATGTAGCAGCTGTAACCGATATATCCAGAGGCTAGGTGCTTATCTGTGGTTGTATGTGAGAAAGAGAGTTGTCCTTGCATTCCACATGCCTTATCCCAGCTTCCCACTCTTCCATTGGGAGTTCCTCTGATGTTTGCACTGTCTTTAAGGAATAACAGTAAGATAATGCTATATTTAAGGCAATACTCACTTATCCCATCTAGGTTGTTGCATTCTGTCTTCATATTCTGTTTGTTCCACTCCCCAGCTCTGCTCCTGAAGAGAATAATGGGTTGGTGATGACTGGTCAGCAACAGCAATAACTGAGCGAAGTATTTAGTGTTTTATCTAAAAAAGATTGCTCCGATTCCATTTGCCATTTGGAAAGAGCTTGAACAAGTTTGAAGAAAGGTTGGGATTAACAGGCAATAAAAAAAATGAAATAGGGGAAGGTTGTTGCCAATAAGTCCATAATGCAAATTGCATACTTACCCTATGTCTCTTGTGTGGGAGACACTGCAACTCCAATCTGTTGAGGACAGGTGTTAAGCCAGTTCAGTTTTTCATATTCCAAGAGGAGAGAGAAATAATCTGTGGCCATGGATGCTGGAAGTGTTTTGCATGTATTGGAATGCATAAGGGAATGAGAGAAAATACGTTCAGTAGCTTTGAAGCATGGACCAACCCTCTCTGGTGACCAACAAACACACAGTGGACAGCAGTGAATCCTGATGGGGTCTGTATCTCTGAAGTCCTAAGGAGAAATATCTATGAGGGTTCAGATAACACAATTGTCATCCATCTGGCCCTCCGGCTTTGTTTTTAATTTCAGTTGTAGTTTTTCGTTTGTGTGTCAAGTGTTAGTATTTCACGCCTCCGATGCTGCAGATGAGATTGGTGTAAATTACATGCCTGTCTGGGAAGACTGTGGGAACGGAAGACAGTCTTATCTCTTCTGCTGTATGTACTATTGTACTGTACTTTTGCTTTTACTTGTTCCGGTTTTTCCTCCCGAGCTGGAGAGAGAGGGCGCCATGATTCATTTGTATGTACACAGTGTGTCAATAAATACGTAGATTAGCTCTACAATGTCTCATGTTTCTTGCTGTGTTATGCTAGAAGATTACTGTGCATATGGTGTTATGTATTGAAGTTCTCACCCTGGGCCAGCAGGGGGATACTGTAGATAGTTATGCAAATAAGGGATCGAAAGTGGCGTTCAGTGATTGGATAGTTTTAGAAAATTGTTACAGTTACATTGTACTGGAGTTCTATATAAACAGGCTGACTGAACCCTTCAGTTCAGTTCTGTCCTGGCCTGTGAATAAACAAGAGCTGTTGGAAGAATCGCTGTGTCGTCTGATATGTTCACCCACAACTTAACATATATCATTTGATATATGTCGCTGAAGCGCGCTGAGAAGAAGGGAAATGCCTTTTCCAGAGCTTTGTATACTGGAGGACGCTCAGAGTTCGGGGCTGCAGGGGCACCCTCAGGGCGTTTTCCAACATCAAGTACTTCCTCTGTGCAAATAGTCCTCTTTTCACTAAAGTTCACCATCATAATTTGTGCACTTCCATACTCATGGTTCCATAGGTAGTGGGGACTGATTGATCACATTTCTATATCACATTTCTTGATATGGGAGCTTTCTTCTTTTCTGGGGTTTATATTCCAAGGTGCTGTGAAGTGAGAGACTCAGACCTCTGTCCTCCAGTACAACATAGGTGAAGAATACTCTGGCGCAAATTAAGCCCTGGCATGTGCTGTTCTAAGGGATGCGGGTGGCGCTGTGGGTAAAAGCCTCAGCGCCTAGGACTTGCCGATCGAAAGGTCGGCGGTTCGAATCTCCGCGGCGGGGTGCGCTCCCGTCGTTCGGTCCCAGCGCCTGCCAACCTAGCAGTTCAAAAGCACCTCCGGGTGCAAGTAGATAAATAGGGACCGCTTACCAGCGGGAAGGTAAACAGCATTCCGTGTGCTGCGCTGGCTCGCCAGATGCAGCTTGTCACGCTGGCCACGTGACCCGGAAGTGTCTGCGGACAGCGCTGGCTCCCGGCCTATAGAGTGAGATGAGCGCACAACCCTAGAGTCTGGCAAGACTGGCCCGAACGGGCAGGGGTACCTTTACCTTTTACCTATGTGCTGTTCTTGGAGCACAAAGTAGCAGTGGCTTAAACACACAATGTAAATATCCACCATACCTCTGAGGAGTCTCCTCCCAGTGAAGGGAATACTTGTTCATTTTCATTTTGGAAGAAGTCCTGTTTTCTATTATTTCTCAACTCCATTAACTTTTCAACACTTAGCAGGCAGGGTTTTGCCAAATGCGGTTTATTCTGTACTTGAATGAATATTGGTGACTTTGGACTCAAGTGCATTGTCAGAGTGTGAGCAGTATGCATTTACCAAGCCTCATGTTTCACTGTACACATGTGGATTACAATCATCTCTGGAGTTACAAGGATAAATGTTTACGGGCATTGGGTCAGTATAGGCTGAAAAAATTCCACATGACAGCATTAGCATGTTAATAGAATCTACCAGGTGAGAAACCTAGATTAATCCAGAATTCAGGGAGTATGTTTCTTTAAAAACAAGTATTTGGTATAACATACCAAAAAATGTAAATCTCATGGCAAATCTAGCACATAATTTAACAAGACTGTGATTGTCTCTTTCAACTCCACCATTGTGTCTTTCAACTCCACCATTAAAGCATTCACAATGACAAATATGGGTTTTAAAAACTACAAGGCACAAGTTGCAATCCAATATACATTTACATAGGAGTAAGTCCATTCATTCCCATGGTGCTTACTCCTAAGCAGACATGTATATGATAGCACTTTTAGACCATCTGCAACTCATAGGCCAAGTTACAGGATATATTTGGCCACTACTTGGAGGGTTTTACTATGTAAGGCTGACCCTGTGCCATCAAGCAAAAATGAGAGAATAAATATATGCCTTCTAGAGATTCCCACCCACCCCAAATATCACATTCTGCAATTCAAATATGGATTGACAACACCCACTATCATTTTTTCAGCTGCTGTTACATTCAGATATATGTGATATTTAGTCCTTGAATAAATGAATTTGATTGTTCCTTCTCCTGTATATTAAGATGCCTAGAAGTCTTCGAACTTCCTACTACTCAAAATATTTGGCACCACAGTAAAAAGATTTGTGGCAATGTGATATGTGTGATTAGCTTTATCAGATCTAGACAACATGGGAATAAATGGATGTTCCTGCGGGCAAATTGTCCAATCAATCCTTTACCAGTACACAATAATCTTAAACAAGGTCAAATTTCCATTATTCTGCATATCAAAGCTCATATCATAAAAATGTCCGGATGACTGCAACTAGCACTAAAAGCGTTTATCACAAATCTTAAGCCAATAGCTTACACTGTGGCATGCTTTATGTAAAAGCTGTAAAAAAAACTTAAGCACTGACAAACCCGTGCACAAGGTTTGACCCCTTGCAATAGAGTAAATGCAAACCAGAAGGTGGTTTTAATGCAAAGTTATAGGAACATACTTAGACTGAGTGAGACCATTCGTCCATTCAACTCAATGTTGTCCACTTTGACTGGCTAACACTAGTCAGATATCATTGCTATCCAAGATCCACTGTTTTCTTCACCACACTTGCCACTTTTATCCTTAACAAAGTAAAAACAACACAAGACACAGTGGAATTAAACCAGAGACAAGGAAGGTTTTGCAGCTTGAGGAGCACATTCTCTCCTTGGAAACCTTCCACAGAGCCATATACCAGTGGTGGGGTCAGAGGCAAAAGGGAGCAGAGCAGAACATGGAAATGTTACCATTGTACTGTAGGCTAGTTTTGCAGTCACCCTTACACACCCCATCCTCAATCCAGGTAGTATCACAGGCATTGCCAGAGTTCAAGGATACATTGCAGACAGACAAAAACACTTGGGCAGAGCGCAAAGGAGGGCCAGTGAGGGGTGTGGCCTGGGGAAACGGGGCATGACTAAGGAGAGTACCAGAAAGAAAAGGTGGAGGGCCATATTTAGCTCCTGGGCCTAAGGTTTCTCCTTCCATGGAGGAAGAGGCATCTTCTGCTCCTGGAAGACCTGCTTGCCTTCTAAGAGGAAAGACCTCACACTTAGAGCAGTGTTTCTCAAACTTGGGTCTCCAGCTGTTTTTGGACTACAACTCCCATCATCCCTAGCTAGCAGGACCAGTGGTCAGGCATGATGGGAACTATGGTCCAAAAAAAAGCTGACAACCCAAATTTGGGAAACACTGCATTGCATAAGAAAAAGGAAACGCAAAACGCTTCTCACCCACCCACTCCAGCACAACCCTGTGCGTGTCATTTAGATTCCACATAATACCATGAAGGACAACAAAGCACAAAGTACTAAAACAAAGCTGACAGTCCATTAAAACATCTGTACTGCCAACTTTGCCTTTGGATACTCCAGAGCTGTTAGGCCTATATTATATTGTGCTTCAGTCCTCTATACTGTATGCGAGAGATAAAAAGGACAAACATGTTTTATGCTTAGTTCCAGAATAGGTATGGGGGACATCTGAAGCATTAAGAGGGACAAATGCTAGCTAATTAATTCTGAAAATACCGTATTTTTCGGACTATTGGACGCACCGGTCCATAGGACGCACCTAGATTTGGGGGGGGGGAAATAAAGGCAAAAAAAATTTATTCCCCCCCCCCGCCAGGCGCGGGGCTGGGGCGGGGAAGCCCGAGCTTCCCCCTCCCCCAGAACGGGACCCAGAGCCATGCCGAAGCTGCGCGCAGCTTTGGCATCGCTCTGGGAGCTTGCGGGGCTGGGGGAGGACGAAGCCTTCCGCCAGCCTCCAAACCATGTCGGGAGACAGCGGGATGGCGCGCTGCGCCCCTGCCGCTGTCTCCCGGGTTTGCGGGGCTGGCGACGGGGAGGAGCAGGCTTCTCCCCCCGCCAGCCTTCTAGACAAGTCGGGGGACAGCGGCAAAGGCGCGCTGCGCCTCTCCCGCTGTCCCCCGAGTTTGCGGGGCTGGCGACAGGGAGGAGCAGGCTTCTCCCCCCGCCAGCCTTCTAGACAAGTCGGGGGACAGCGGCAAAGGCGCGCTGCGCCTCTCCCGCTGTCCCCCGAGTTTGCGGGGCTGGCAACGGGGAGGAGCAGGCTTCTCCCCCCGCCAGCCTTCTAGCCAAGTCGGGGGTCAGCGGGAAAGGCGCGCTGCGCCTCTCCCGCTGTCCCCCGAGTTTGCGGGGCTGGCGACGGGGAGGAGCAGGCTTCTCCCCCCGCCAGCCTTCTAGACAAGTCGGGGGACAGCGGGAAAGGCGCGCTGCGCCTCTCCCGCTGTCCCCCGAGTTTGCGGGGCTGGCGACGGGGAGGAGCAGGCTTCTCCCCCCGCCAGCCTTCTAGACAAGTCGGGGGGCAGCGGCCAAAGGCGCGCTGCGCCTCTCCCGCTGTCCCCCGAGTTTGCGGGGCTGGCGACGGGGAGGAGCAGGCTTCTCCCCCCGCCAGCCTTCTAGACAAGTCGGGGGGCAGCGGCAAAGGCGCGCTGCGCCTCTCCCGCTGTCCCCCGAGTTTGCGGGGCTGGCGACGGGGAGGAGCAGGCTTCTCCCCCCGCCAGCCTTCTAGACAAGTCGGGGGTCAGCGGGAAAGGCGCGCTGCGCCTCTCCCGCTGTCCCCCGAGTTTGCGGGGCTGGCGACGGGGAGGAGCAGGCTTCTCCCCCCGCCAGCTTCTAGCCAAGTCGGGGGACAGCGGGAAGGGCGCGCTGCGCCTCTCCCGCTGTCCCCCGAGCTTGTGGGGCTGGCGGTGGGGCTCTCCTGAAGCCTGGAGGTTGTGGGGCTGGTGGGGGGGAGAAGCAGGCTTGCTTCTCCCCCCCCCCAGCCTCCAGATCAGGTCGGGGAATAGCGGGATGGCGGAGCACCGCCATCCCG